AAAGAAATGGATCTGGCACTTACATTTATGCTAGGCTGACATTGTTGGTTTGCTGCCAAAGAGGCATCTCACAGAGGCAACAGCTGAGGGATCTCAGCCATTGAACCTTGGTGCTAGCCTTACAAGAAATCACTTCAATGGTGACACGCAATATCTCTGTCCGTTTTGTCCTTAAAGTTAGAGAAATTCCATCTCAAGTTAAATCAGAGCTTTCTCATATAGGCACGTGACCCTTCAGAATCAAATTGATGCTATCAGCTTGTTTCATATTTAACAGCCTGAAGCAAAGTGTTCCAGAGTTAAAATTTTGGTTATGAAAAGCCTGGTCTGACCTCACCCTCTTATTTCCCACAGTGTATCACAGACCTCTTCATACAGCCTACCCTTCCTCTCAAGTTTTCTATAATGTTGGGTTTGGGAGGTTTTTAAGGGCAAAAATAAACATGACATGAAAAATAACTGTTTCTCTCCTGCCCTCAGCAAAAAGAATTTGTGCTTGCATTTTCATATAGTTAAATTTGCATTTGAAAACTGTTTAACCGTAATGGCCCCTTGTCAGTATTCTCACTCAAAAATGTTGTTCTGATTCCTTGGCATCTCTTTCTCTCCCAGTTGGTGGGGATTTTAGTCTCTAGCAGAAACCAGCAGAGAACAAACTAGCTAAAAGAGGCTAGTGCAATTTGAGTTGCATGGGGATGTTAAATTAATTATGCATAAAGCGTCTACTCCCTTTTTTCCAATAAGTCCATATGTTCTTTTAAATATACAGAATGATGGCATTAGATAGGTAATAATGCTTGATTTCTCTCAGTAGCCTTAACTGAACTGTGAGATGGAATTGCTCCTCTGGAAGCAAACTGCCTATTTTAGCTTGGCAAAAGGAAATATATTCACCCAGTCAGGCAACTGCAGGAGCAGGACAGAACAGGAATTTGATCGATATTTTCAACAGTACTATTTTTTAACATGTAGAAACTTCTCTTTTCTTTTATACACATTGTCAAAATAATGTCTCAAATTTGGGAATTTTTTTGAGGGAGGCAGTTTTGGAAGTGGCCTACTGTCACTAGAAAATCCAATAAATATTGTTGTATTTAGAACATGGATTTTTGTCTGGGTGATTTGTAGGTACAACAGTTCTACTGTATCCATGCTTCTTCTTGAGGATTTATTTTTGTCAATCTATGTTATTTAGATTTTTATTATTTCAATTCTTATGCTATTCTGAAAACTGAGAAAAAATATTCGTAGCACGCCTTATTTTTTCAAATTTAAACGTATGTAATTTGTAAACAGTGCTCCTCGGAGTCTGTAGCTAAAGGTGTATGTGAGTGAGTCCAATACAAGTTATTTTATTCCTGTGTATCCATAACCTAATCTCGTTCTCAGTTCAGGTGATATCCCCGTTTATTGCCTTGCCCCAGTGTATGAAGCTGTGATCAGACTTCCAGTATTTATATAGCTGTGCTTAAAGTTAAAAAAGGGCAAGTTCTTTAAGACAGGGTAATGCTTATGTTATGGGCAAACTTCCCTTGGTAGCAATGCTTGTTTTATAACATTTTGAGAATATGTGTTTCCCTCTCAGTCTTTTCATTGATAGCCAGATGTCAGGGAGTGCTGGAAGCAGATAACCAAGAGTAATTACAAGTATCCTGGTGATAGCCTGTGTTATGACTCTGATTGCAAAAAATATTTGAAATTTTCATCAGATACATAACATTAAAAGCATGCTGGATAAATTATGGGAAAAAAAAAAAAAAAGGAAAGGAAAGTGGCTGACTTGTTTAACATCCTAACTAAAAAAAAAGTGCATCAAAGAAGCCTAAGCAGCAAATCTGTTTTTTCATCAAATATTAACTGGATCCTGAGGGGTTTTCATTATCCAGATGAAAATACTGGGCTTGTTTATCAGCGTGCAGAGGCTTACATTGAGATGATAGTCTTGTATTCAATCATTGTGGAATGGTATACATCAGAGACACTGAAACGGGTGAGCTGTGAGAGGCTCCATAGCATGTGCTCAACTCTTCACACCGTGTTTCTGCAGCACTTCATTGAGAACAGGGCCTTTGACTGTAAATTTATTTTGCTGGGGTCTCTGATTCTTTGTCTGCTCCATGTGGCTGCTATCAGTTTACAAATACAGAAAAATTAAAATTGGTTTATGAACTGTTATTATTGTAACTGAGTTCTGCTATTAGCTAGGTCTAAATGTTTTCATATATTCCACACCGCTGTTGCCCTTTGAAATTTTTAACTGTTGTTTTCTTGTACATTAATAATTTCCTTGTGTAATTGTTCCCAAGAGAATGAGCTGAAAGAATTATGAATTAATTTGCATCTTTTAATGTACTAATAAACTTACCAAGAAGAAAATTTCATTCCATCCAGGTGGAAACCAATCACTTTAAATCAAAGCTTACTGAATTTCAAAGAGCTTTTCTTTTCAGGAAGTTGCAGAAGAACAGTGCCCTGCATGTTAAAACTGATTAGAAAGCGCAAACAGCAATTTTAGAAAAAGCCCCAGGTCATTTTTTGCTGCAGTATAGAGTTCACAGGCATTTAGGAAAATGAGTATTTGTTGTATTTAAACAAAATGAATAGCAATTTCTTGGAGGTTGAGAGGTCTCATGCTGTAAATGGAGATTTCACCCTTTCATTGAAAAATATTTTTAAGCTATTTTAGCTTTTTTTGTTGTCTGATGTAAATAAATAATTCATGCTATAGACTCTAAAACATAGATCAAGAAAAAGAAATGTCCTCTTATGTACAATTTATTCAAATAGAACCTTCAGTGAACAAAATAGTCTATCTAATGTATTCATTTATAACCGTACAATGTCAGGTCGTTGTTCACCAAAGGACTCATCTTCACTTATCTCTGAGCACTTGAGTAACCAACGCACGACTCCTAAAGCAACAGTTTTGAGCACGTGCTTGAAGTTAAATACATTCAAGTGCTGTTCCAAGTAGTAGTATAGTTATGCACAACCTTAAGTAACTTACTGAACTGGAGATTTGACATCCCAGTTTATATACCTTTGTGTATTTTAACCTCAGTTAAATATGGGAATAGAATGAATGCTCTAGCCCTCATTTTCCAAATAAGATGTAAAATACATAATTAATGGAAAATGTAAGACTTGATATCAAACTTCCAAGTTCTGAAGTTTATTTTAGTAGTTGATAAAGTTTACCATTAACATTTTTCAGGGCAAAAAGATTTATTTAAATGGTTATAAACTGTCTAGGCCAGAATGAATCCCACAGTATGTTTTGAAAGAAAATGCTCTTTAGTATCAAAATCCCTGTTTAATGTCTGAAAAAAGTAAGGAGACTTCTTGTTAAGAAAATAAGGGGAGAGATTGAAACTGCCTTTAACCAAGACTTGATTACATTTCACAGCTGGTATGGGATAGCGAACAGAAGAGGGAAGGGACTGGTGAAGTTCAGGGAGAAAGCAAGGATAAACCACAGCAGGCTTGGAAGCAGATGGAGGAGTGCTGGAATTGTGACCAAGGGGAAGCCTGGGGGAACATGGGCAGTAGGGGGAAAAGGGCTGGGCACTTGCAGTGACCAGGGAAAGCCCCAAAGTAAGAGGGGATGGCTGTGCAGGGCCCAAGAAGGCTGTAGCGAAGGTAGCTCTGCGCCTTCCTTAAGGAAACAGATGCAGATTAGAGACAGGAGTTCATCGGGGGCATTAGGATGGCCATGGGGAATCCAACCTACAAAAAATGTTAAATACAACCTGGGTGATGTTTCCTCTCAGATAATATAAAAACAAAGTCATTTCTACAAAATAGGGCTTAAATATGAATGACAGAAAAAATGGATGCAGGAATTTCTCAGTAGAAGATGTGGCCATTTAGATTCTATTCCTCGTTAGGGCTTTGAAAAGCAAAAGCTGCTTCATCACCACAGCTTGATACGACGTTCCATTCTTTAGTGTGCCCAAGAAGGAACGCATTGTATTGACTGAAAAAACACCCAGCAGAACCTGTTCCTCCCATAAAGCTACTCCATGACATGCACATTTCCATAAATTCTACCTGAAAGACTTTTTCTTTAGTAAGTTTGCAGACTACTTGCAGAGCAAACGTGTACGTGTACTCAGTAGTATTGTTTCTCACAAAAAGTACCGGCGACAGGCAGAACACTTCTACCAGTATGAAAATAGGCATTTAAAATAAAGCTGCTATTTTTGTTCTTTCAGATGTATTGTTTTGTTTTTTAGGCTGCTTCAGAGCTTGCAAACAGATATATGGTTTGTTTTCTATTCTTAAATTATTTTTTTACATAAATGTATATATAAATTATTTTTAAAATGTCTACAGACCCCCAAAATTCTCACAGCTGTGGAAATACTGACACTGCTTCATTTTTGGCACATCCCAGCCTGTTCTTACTGCTCAGATTCCTGCATAGAAGGATCTATATCCAAATACCTAACTCTTCCACAGTAAAGTAATATTCTGTTTAATGGCTTTTTTTTCTTGCCAGGCTTTGAGAAAGATATCAGTAATGTCTCCCCAAATTCCCTCCACACTGCACTGTTTTATGATATCTAATCTAAAATAAGAACATGATGCTTAATGAATATGTGTTTGTCACAGGAGTAGCAGGAACAGATTAAATGCAAAAGTCCCCTGTAATCTGCTGGGAGAGATATCTGAAGTGCTAGAGTCAGCACAGCCAGAAAACCTTCAAAATATTTTTCTTCAGCTCTAATTTGAAAAACTTCAATGGCAAAGTTTACCCTAAGGAGAAATTGTGCTAACCACAGATTTATTTATTTTCTGCTGATGAACACAGCCATGTGAACAACAGACAGAGATGTCTTTTTCTGCAGGAGGGTGCCAGAACTGCAGAGTTAAAAGCTTAAGATTGAAAATTGACACTGACCCTATTTATTAGCAAAATAATGGGCTCGTTGTGGCTCATGCAGCTTTCCAGGATTGCACAGGACTAAATATAAGAGTTTTTTCCTGTCACATTTCAGGTGGCTGAAAAGGCAGAGCGCACAGCTAAAAATAATGTCACATGGTACCTCCTGGAAGGTGACTGCATTGCTCACGATCCTCGCTTTCACGGTGAGACAACAAAATCCCTGAAGAAACCATCTATCTGTAAGAACAGACTGACTTCTTTGAAAAAAATATGAAGTTTCTCATACAAGACAAGGAGGTGAGTTTGGACGAGTCTCTTTGGGAGTCAAGCAGTCAGACCAGCTTTCCCCTTGGGGCACGGCAGCTGGAGACATCCCCTGGGCCCCGGCAGCAGCCTTTTAAGGGAGATTTCATTCCTGGGAACCAGCAGGGCTGGGAAGAAGGGAAAGGGCTGATCCCTCACCCAGCATCTGCCCCGCTGCCTGCCCCGCCAACTTCACACATCCCTTCGGGATAGGCAAGTCCCTTCACAATGATGTTTTCTGATCTTGCAAAATTTCTAATTAAACTTTAATCCTTTAATATCAAACTGTACTTGATCCTGCCTAGAAAACTATTAGATTTCCAGCAAATGCAAAACATGATGTAGGTGAAATTGCCTATTGAAATTAAAATTGTAGGAAATGTTTGTGTCTGTACAAGTTTTCCTGCTTATACTTTTGATTTCTGAGGAATTGTTCACCTATTTTCAAAGAAACGGTATCTTTGTGTTTTTTCTTTTTGGCATTTTTGTTTCTTTGGAAATATCTTTTTTTACCTACCGCCTGGAGAAAATGTTTACTCTTTTCCAAACACCTCTTATCGGTGCATACCAGGCCTGAAAAACCCAAAGTGCTTCAGATCCTTCAGAAATCATCATTATGTTAATACTTCACAGACTCCTAGAAGAGCTGAGATTGGCAAGGAGCTCTGGAGATCATGTAGGCCAACCTCCCTGCACAAGCAAGTTGCTTAGGACAAGGTCCAAACAGCTTTTGAAAATCTCTCTTCACAATGTTCTGAGCAACCTGTTCCACTGTTCAATCACCCCTACAGTAAAAAAAAAAAAAAATGTAATAATTTAAAAAATTATTATGTGTTTAATGAAATGTCTTGTATTTCAGTTGATGTCCATTGCTTCTTGTTCTGTCACTGGAAATCACTGAGAAGAGTCTGGCTCCTCCTTTGCTCCCTGCCATCAGGTATTTATACACGTTGATAAGATCCCCTAAGCCCTCTCTTCTCTGGGCTGAATAGTCCCACCTCTCTCAGCCTGTCCTTGTGTGAAAGATGCTCCAGTCACTCCCCTCTGTGGCCTTTTGCTGGACTCTCTCCAGTGTGCCCACATCTTTGTTGTACTGGGGAGCCCAACGATGGTTGGGCTACTCCAGGTCTGGAAGGAAAATCACCTCCCTTGACCCAGTAGCATCGCTCTGCCTAACACAGCCCGTGATTCTGCTGGCCACCTTTGCCACCAGGGCACACTGGAGCTTCAGCTTGTGCCCACCAAGACCCCCAGGGCCTTTTCTGCCAATCTGCTTCCCAGCTGGGCGGCCCCAGCCCGTGCCGGTGGATGGTGCAGGGCTTTGCACTCCCTTTGGTGGAACTGCATGACATTCCACTTTGCCCAATTCTCCAGCCAATCGCCATCCCTCTGGATGGCAGCACAGCCATCTGGTGTATCGCACACCCCTCCTGGTTTTGTATCACCTGCAAACCTCAGGGCACACTCTGTCCCATCATCCAGGTCATTAACGAAGATGCTAAAGAGCACTGGACCACGATCCAGGTGTTGAACGCACAGTACATTGGAACACATTCCCATACAGGAACCACGCATCAGAGTTAAAAAGCAAATTTCAATGTGTGCATTTGGCTGTCATCTCGCCACCGAGCATCACTGCCATGCTGTCATCCGTGGCTTCCTCAGCACGAGCTCGAGCTAAGGCACAGCCAGCTGCTCTGACACTCTGCAGCCATAGCAGGTGGCACCACGACTGCAGCCACTGCCACCACCTTCCCGTTTGACAGAAACAGTCGTGTTACAGCAGCACCAACAGACAGGGTCCAACCTGCTGGTTTTAATCAAACTCTTTGATGGACTGGGACTTGCTTACATAAAAGGTCACTGTTTTCCCCGCTCATGCCCCGATTTTGCTAGCGAGAGCACTTCCATGTGTTGACCATCTCTCTAGTAGAACAGGAGTATCTGTTGGCGGGCAAGTTTCTGTAAAAAAGCCTCAACAGCTGAATTTGCTGCAGTGTGGGTCCTGTGTGGGTTTGGGTAGCTTCTGGCAAAACTATTTAAGAAACAATTTGGGACAGAGCTGGATTGAGGATCTTATTTGAAAGTCCCAGGAGAATTTTTTACATGATTACATGCCGTAGTAAAAGAGATAAGTTTGATTCCTTGCATAAATTATGACTATGAATAACTGAATTATAATTTTAAATATTAATTATTATAATGAATCCTTTAGTACCTAACAATTATAGTGTTACAAACTCTGAAATAAACACTAGAAGTCTCTAAATAAACAACATATTTGTGTCCTAAACCCAGCTTTTTTCTTCCATTGTAGGAGACCTCAGGGCAAAAGACTTCAAAGCTCTGGATTTTCATTTACTCCAAAGGAAAGCAAACGGGCGTCAGAGTAAGTATGAATCAGACCTTGAATCCCATTAGATTTGGCCCCTTCTGATGGATTTCTACCCTTCTGTCATACGTTCTTCTGCTTCGTTCTTCTCATTGAAATTCTTCTTCAAGATCCTATGTGCTGTTGCACTTTCAGACCTCTCCCACATCTGATCTCTCTTCTCTGACTTTCATTTTGTGAACCAGCAGTTCACTGCATTTCTTTTCTTATAATTTAAACAAGGAGGCTCCAAGACATAGAAAGGCTAATCTCACAATCCTCAAAAGGGTACCTGTAACTCTCATTCTATTTCTGTACTTAATTCTATATTCCACACCTTTTTTTCTTTTTTTTTGGTAATATTTGTCTTTGATCCTGTTCAAGGCTCTCACAGTCTGTTTCACTTGGCTGTGAAGAACCATATTCATGTGTAGCATTAAGGCTGAAAGAAACTACAGAGCTGTAGCTGGAGTGGGGCTGGAAAGGGGCTGCCAAAGCAAACACAAGGCTGACAAAAGAGTTCTCCTCTGAAGAATACCATGTTTCTCAATAGTGCCTGGCTCATAGCTCAAACTAGGGTTCGGATCAGCACTAGGATTGAGAGAACAAGAAAGCCTGATATACAGCTGGGATGGGACTGGAAAAGGGCTGGCAAAGGAAGAAACAGGGCTGCCAAAGAATTCTTGTCCCAGTAATATTAAGGCTCGGGACTGAGCCGTGTGACAAGCCTTTGGCTGAGCCTAGGCTTAGGGCTGGTGGAAAGGAAAAGCCAGAACTCCAGTTGGAGTTGAGCTGCCAAAGGAAATGAATGGCTGCAAAAAGAATATCCCCCTGAGGAACTGATATTCCAGGGAAATGCTGCTGTGTCTTTCCTAGGGCTCAGGTTAGGGTTAAGCTTGGAAAAAAAGCTCAGAGGTCCGCTTGAAGTGAGGCTGGAAAGAAGCTGCCAACAGAGAATGTTTAGTGTCTGGAAGGACTTGAGTGCTCTTGCGAGGCTCTGCCCAGGGCAAAACTAGGATTAGGCCTGGAAGCACCCATTTCTGTAATTTATGAACACAATGCTGGATTTTGTGCTTATGTGGCATGCAGGGACCTGCCTTAAAGCAGGCAATATATACACATGGAAGAGAGGTATAGGAAAAGTTAACATAGGGGGAAATTTATCTCCCAGTTCAGACTAGACTGCTCTGCCATAAAGGGAAGGAAGTGGAAAGGTCTTGAACTTTCTGACACAGAAAGGCAAGACTTAAATTAAAATGCAGCAAGTGGCAAAGGTGACAAAAAGGCCACAAGCAGAGCCAAGGCACACTGTCCCCAGACACCAGCAGCAGTCTGGCACACCTTCGGCTGCTGGTGGTGGACTGACGCGGTCGGGGCGCTGTCACCGTGGCCCTCGCAGCCCCCTTGGGTGCACTCGCTGCCAAACCTCTCCTCCCTGCCATTTTAAACTCTGCCTCAGCAAACGAAGCGGCTGACAAAATGGAGGGGGGCGGGAGGGAGAAAAAGGGAGAACGAGACGGATTGTTGCACTCCGTGGAGGCGAAGTGCAGTTCGCAGGCCTGGCTCGGGTATCCTCACACAGCTCATGCCACCTGCCGGCAGCCCGCAGCAGCGGCCCGGCGGGCAGGCAGGCCCCGCGGCCCGGGCCCCTCTCCCTCCCCAGGGACACACCGAGGGCGCTGCGGTTACAACCACCAGGGGAGCTGGGGCTCCAGCAGAGCCCGGCCCGGCGCGCCTCGCCCCGCGGGGGGCGGCTTGGCCTCCTCTCCCCTGCCGGAGGGGAGCGGGAAGGCCCCCCCCGTTGAAATGGCGCCGCAGGGTGACACGGCTGCTGGTCAGCGCTGCTCGCCCTGCGGGAAGGGCGGCGGCTTTCCTCCAGCGCCTGATTTACGGCCTGCGACACGGCAGAGTTCCGCAAGGCAGGGCCCGGCCTGAGGCGCCTTCTAGAAGCTTCCCGGCCCCTATTAAAGATGGCGCTCGCGCCCGTCCCGCGCGCTGCGGCACGTCCCCCCGCCCGGCCTCCTCCGGCCAGCGGCGCCTGCGCGCTCCGCAGTCACGTGGGGTGAGCGAGCCAGTCACCGGCCGCGCGCGGGGCGGCCTGACGTCACTTCTGGCTCTGTGGCGTCGTTCCGGTTGTGCTGTGGGCGCAGTGAGGCAGCGGGGCCGGTCGGTCGGAGCGGGCGAGGAGCGGCCACCCAGGTGTGCGGGGCGGGCGGGGGCGGCCGCGGGACGGGGGCTCGCCGAGGGGCGGCGGCGGGTCTGGGCGGAGGCGGGTCCGGGCGGAGGCAGAAACGGGGAATGGGTGCGGCCCACAGCGAGCGAGGGCCCGCGGCCCGGCCCAGGCCCGAGGTGGGCGCTGGCCGCTCTCCTGCTCCCCTCAGAGCAGCCTGGGCCGGGAGGGTGTCTGCGCAGCGCCCTTACTGCTGCCTTTGCAGTTAACACGCCGGAACGATGATTTGTTTTTAACACTCTGTTGTCGCTAATTCCTGTTCCTAATCTGATGTTTAAAATTGTCTCAAATACCAGTTTCAAAAAAATCACAGTTGTTACTCTAAGTTCCTGCAAAGTTTATCATTCCAGTGGAAGAGGGGGGTTTATT